AATATAATATTTAAGTATTAAATATATTATATAACATTATAATGTTAAACATATTTAATATATTTAATATTTAGTTATTTATTCATTTTTAAAAGAGTGATAGAAACAAGAAATTTCTATAATGAAGAAGTAAAATTCAAAAGTGAACATTATGGGGCCCAGCGCGGTGGCACAGTGGTTAAGGTCCTTGCCTTGCACACCCGGGTTCCCATATGGGCGCCAGTTCTATCCCAGTAGCCCCGCTTCCCTTCCAGCTCCCTGCCTGTGGCCCAGGAAAGCAGTCGAGGACGGCCCAAAGCTTTGGGACTCTGCACCCGCGTGGGAGACCCATAAGAGGCTCCTGGCTTCGGATTGGCATAGCTTTGGCCGTTGTGCTCACTTGGGGAGTGAATCATCGGACGGAAGATCTTCCTCTCTGTCTCTCCTCTCTGTATATCTGCCTTTCCGATAAAAATAAATTTAAAAAAAAAAGTGAACATTATGGCACAACAGGCAAACAGGGAATTCCTGAGTGCCTGGATCAAGTCCGAGCTGTTCCTTCTAGATCTGCAGTCCTGCTGAAGCATTCCGTGAGGCTCCAGTGCTTGAGTTTCCCCACGCGGGAGGTAGAGATGGAGTTTCAGGCTCCTGGCTTTGACCTGGGTAGCCCTAACTGTTGTGGACAATCTCACACACACACACACGCACACACACAACTATGAAGATAATTTATATCAGACTTTTTATATTAATTAATTAATGGCAAATGAGGACAGGTTTATCACTTAGTAGGGCTAGAAATCACCTTTTTTAGATTTATTTATGTGTTTGAAAGCCAAAGTGACAGATAATATTGCTTCTATCCACTGGTTCACTCCCGTATTTCCTAAAATAGCCAGATTGAAACCAGGAGCCTGTTACTCCACCCAGACCGCTCACATAATGTGGCAAACACAGAAGCACTTGGTCTTTCCTCTGCTGCCTCCAAAAATGCATTTTTAGGATGCTGGACTGGAAGCAGAGTAGGACTCAAACTAGCATTTCACTATGGGATGTGAACACTCAAATTGTGTCTTGATGCATTGTACTACAATACTCACTGCAGATTCTATAAACCACTCAACGCCAACTTTAAAATTTCCTACACAACTAGTTCAAGGTGATTCATAACAAAAATGTTAGTGATCCTTTTGAAATAGTTCTGAATATTAACCTGCACATATGTGTAAGAATTCTTCATTGAAAAGAGGAGAAAATTGTAGGATGAATTAATTATATTGATGATTCCTCATGGGTTTCTGATACTGACATCTTAGACCCATTATTTTACCACCTTTAAGGAAACAAAAGAGTGACTTTAAAATCTCTTCTGTCACCAGTTGCAGATGTACAAATAATTGGAGAAGAAATGAAGGAATGGGCTTTCAAAGACAGTAACATTCAGGAGTGCACAATGAGTTTCTGCAACCTTGGAAAGCTTGGTTGTTTTAGTTTGATTTCAAAAACTACAGAAGGAAAGCGTATGCTTAGAGCTTGATAGTAGACATGCATAGTTTTTTGTTTCCCATGTTTTAGGAAAATATAAATGGACAGAGATTAAATGTACCTGAGGATAAAATTTTGTTACAAAATATTGTCATATATATATATTTTCCATAAGAACTTCAGAAACCTTATAAAAATATTCTTATCCATGGTATCTAATGGTTGTCAAAATAATAGATTTTATTTTAGTGCTTTATTTTCTTTCAAAGCGACTATAAACTTTTGTGCTTTGTAGGACTTATTATATTGAGAAATAATTATTAAATGGACTGGCAATTATTTTCATATATGTGAATAAATGAAAGTTTTTTCTATTTAGGGTGTGACAGATTAAAGCTCAGATGTGCCATTAGCTAGCAATGTATGAAAACTCACTGAAGTTCTTTGAGTTTTTGTTTACTCATCTGCACAATGAATTACTTTGAACCCCAGAGACATGACACTTCTAACAAAATGATCCTGCAGTATTAATATTTATAAGACATTCTTACAAAAAGAGCCATCTGAATTTTTATTTTTTCTCACAGAGCATTTTAGCCTGTTCTGCCTCATCTGTCTTATACACTGACCGCTTTTCACCCTTTCCTATATTTCCACAGGAACTGTATGAAAACAGGCATCTCAGTGTGTTCTTTTTCATATCTTTTCTTTTTACAAATATACCCCAAACTCATTTTATACTATTTTACCATGAGATTGCATCCAATTATTTCAAAATAGAACATTATGAGTTCAAACAATTCAAGTTTGTTGTTTCGTCCACAGACATCCCTAAGGCATTTGCCAACAATATTTATTCCAGGTGTTTCCCATACCCGGATAGGAGCGTAGAGGTGTACAGGGAATCACAGGTGTCTGAGTACAACCTTACCTTTAAGGTAAAAATGACAGATGATAGATGCTGTCTTAGAAGATTAAGAAGCCATGTGGATATTACCCGTTAACTCAAGGCATTTTTTTTACTTTTCAGTGCTACGTGAGTATGCAGTTATTGATGCAAGGAGGCAGGGACGGAGAGAGAACTGTAGTTTCTTATTTTTGTATACGATCAGTCTAAAATACCACGTGCCAATGTAATCTGAATACCCAGGAGAAATAATTTCTTAACCAATAACTTTGGTCACATTCCAGAATAAAAAAATGATGAAACTGAATATTGAAAAATATATACTGTGTATAAATTTTAGCAATAATAAACAAATTGATTTTCTATTAAGGATAATGAAAGAATGACAACATTTATGAATAAGATACAAAATAAAATGTGTATCTTAATGTGGAAAATCTTTAGTAAAATTGATATAGTTCATTCACTACAAAATAGAAACAGTCCAGGTGAATATGAACTAATTTCAGCTGTGCAAAAAAAAAATGAAGAGAGAAAATTTATATTTTGTTCACTATGAGAAAAACGTGTTTTTTGGCATATCTTTTCATCAGGTCAGTTGGGAGTGTTTATTTTTGAGAGATTTGAGATTTGGGATGACAGATGAACTTCAAAGATAATTGATTGTGTGTGGGGGTGGGTGAACACACTAGTGCTACATAAGCACAGTATTCCAAAATACAGTTTCTTATTCCTTTAGATTATCTATTTTTTTAACATGTAGAATTAAATACTTTTGCAATTTTAGGTAAATATATGAAAACATTTATTTGACTAGGAAGTCTCCTTGGAAAGTGAAATACTCAGAGGAGTCAAAATTTGAATGACTTTTCATTCTTTTCTCACCCACCTTCAGTTTTTCTCAACTGGTGTTGGGTCTATAAACCTCAAATACCCTTATAGGAAAAGCAAGGGTTGAAGGTGGGTCTGAGGTTGAGGAAAGAAGAGGTGAGATAGGTATTTGGATGCCACCTGGGTGCATCTGCACCTTAATCCAGGTTTATTAAATCAAATCAAACTAGACAAGAAAGTACACCCAAAACCCTGGCACAGTGAGCCACAGAAACAATGGCCCTAAGAGTCTAAGGCAGGGGAGGTCACAAATAAGTGACAGATGAATGTTATAAGCTTATTCATACATGTGCTCACATACACACACACATGACTGCAGCATATGTGCACTGACTGGTCACAAAGCTCTTGAAATTATTTTAGAATCAAACTTACAAAAAATGAAACTAGAAAATAAAGCAGAGTGATATAATAGAAAGGAGTCGTTTAAAAATTAGTGTTTTGGCTAGTTCTGGCATAAGCTAAATAACCACAGAACCTCACATAACCAAAGAGTCCTTGCTTTCCTTTTACATAAGGAAATGTTCAGGAGTCTTTTATGTCTTCTTATACCCAAAAGGAGCTGGTTAGAGTGAGGTACACTAGATGAACCCCTAAGATCATCCTGTTTCTATAATTACGAATGAGTGCTTGATTGTTTTCACATATATAATTTATATGACCCTGAATTTTTCTCAGATGGTGTAAGAGGGATAATTAAAAAGCTATTCCTAATGATGTTATTATTCCTTTCTTGTGTAACACTATGGAACAAAAGAAAAAAATCCTATCTATAATTCTCTTAACACTCACAAATTTCAGTTAAAGATGTCTTATCTTGATGACTGGGGAATGAAGAGAAAAGCCCTGAGCAATTTTGAGATTTATTAAAGATTTAGCTTAATTGTGTTCAAATCTGCCACTTTCTGTATAATGCTGGAACTGCTTTCTTAACGTCTGTGCATCTTTGCTTTCTTTTTTATAAACAAAATTCTTATTTATTTTTATTTATAAGGCATACGTACAGAGAGAAAGAGATTGATTCCATCTGCTGGAATTCACTCCCCAAATGGCTGCAACAGTAAGAGCTAAGTCAATTTAAAGCCAGTGACCAGAAATTTCTTTTGGGTCTCCATTCCCAAGAACTTTAGTCATCTTCCACTGCTTTTCCAGGCTATTAGCGTGGAGCTGGATCAAAAGTCAAACAGCTGGGATGCTCCCAAATGGGATGTCAATGCTTGCAGACAAAGGATTAGCCTGTTTTCTTATATATAAATTTCAGTAACAACAGCACTTGCTCATAAAGTTGAAAAACAAGTAAATGAGATGATGTTCTCAGAGCACTGGGCAAATATCCAATGCATAGTCAGTGTTTGAGGAAAGCTCAGTATCAACATATTACATATATATAATAATTATCTGTATTTCACTATAATTGTAAGAGGGGAACAGATTGTTTGATGTTTATGCACCATACATACCTACAAAAACATTTGTATCTTTGAAAGCTTTTTTTTTTAAAAAAAGAGGATGATTTGTGATATGCTGAACATACTGTGAATTGTTGCAGTCTGTTTAATGGGACCAGATAAACATCTTCACTGTTCATAAGGTAATACTGTTTTATCTTCAAAACTTGACATATTTGAACGTGCTCCCTTTGTTTTCAGAGACTGTTAGCCCTGATCAGACTGCCAGTGGACTTGCAGAAGAGACTGCTGTTCAGAGCGAGGGCGTGGCCGACCTGCACCTGCTGGTCTCCTTGAAAGAGCGGATGGCGATGTACCAGGCAGCTGTCTCCAGGGGGGACTGCCGCAGTTTCTCTGCCAACGTAAGCTGCTCTTTGCGGTTTTGCACTAGGCAGTGTGCTTGCTGTCAGTCCAGGCTCCCTCCTGACAAGGCAAGAGTGCTGCAGCAAAGGAGGATAATGTCGAGAAAGGACACAAAGATTAAGTGCTCAGGTCCCAGCTGTGCCCATTGATTAGTTCCATGGCCTTGAGGAGGATCTTGCCCCTTGTCTGAGCTTCGTTTCCTTAACTGAAAAATGGGAATAATCATCCACCACATAGTACCTTGGTGAGGAATCAGACATGTGTAAGCCATACAGCACTGTGTAAATGTTGTATTATTGTCCTCATTATCACTTAACTTAATTCCCAACCTACCACAGGAAGGTAGGGAATAAACTTCAAATTTTACGAATGTGGGTTTGCATACTGCTCCTCTTTGGTCTCATATATGGTTCAGTTATGTTCACTGACAGTATAATTTCTTTTGCTTTTCTCTGTATGCACTAAATCCATTAGGAGAGACTTAGTAAACATAGAAATGAGAGAGATTAGCAAAGTAGGCACTCTACTAAACCAATTATGATTGTAGGAAACTGTAGAATTCTGTAAAATCACTAATTTTGGGAGCCAGCATTACAAAGTTAGCCTCAAAAGAATTTACCGAGTATTCTGTAGCCTTCAGCTTCATGGAACATAAAAATGTTCTTTTACAACTATAACCTACAAATTAGTCAAGTTGTATGGTATGTGTCTGAGGGAAGGAAAGAAAGGGAGCGAGATTAGCCAGAATGGTGGCATTTTAAACCAGCTCTTCTTAACATGCATCTTTACAAATTATTTAGAGAGGAGGCTAAATGTGCCAAACTCATTAACAATATTGAAATACAAGATGACATTTAAGTTTTTACATAGTCATTGAAGTAAACATTAGACACAACATAGATCTGAAAAGAATGTATAGAAGGGACATAATCAGCTAAGTCACTTTTAAAATAAATAGTAACTAGATTATAGTAATAATATAGGGGAACTCAGTGAAGAGGAAGGAGATTGAGGAGGGGCTAGGGAAATCCCAGGGTCTATCATAAAATGTATGTATCACAAAATTTACGTATAGTTAAATGATAATAATAATAAAAAGGAGTAAAATTTGAAAAGATTAATTATCATTTGATTAAGCTAAAACATAAATAGTAACAGCAATGCCTCCTGCCAGTCTTCTTAGATAGCACCCCCTGCTGGATAATTCGGAAATTTTCCCACATCTTGGTGATCTAACTTGGAGAAATTATTCCTAGGAAAACAATTCATTTACAGCTGGCTATTTAGAAAACATATTTCACTCTGGAAGATTCAGGGCTTTCCAAGAGCTAGGAGAACATGCAAACATTTATACGCAGGCACGATTTTGTATTCATAATGTGCTTAAACTGAGCAAATAGAGAAATATGAAAATCAGAAAGCTTAGTGTTTGATAATGATCAACATAAAAGGGAGGTAATTATTTTCTTTCCTTTACATTTTCAAAGGCAAGATGACTGAGGGAAATTGATTTTTGGAGATTGTTTGGTTAGAAAGTGAGGAAGTTTAGGTAGAGCCCTAATTTATTAACCCCGATACTTTTTAAACTAGATTTTATTCCTTCTCTCACAAAAGAAAGTAGTTTTGATCCCCAACATAACATTTTATTTGATTTTTTCCCAAATAAAGAATAGCACATATCCAGAAAAATCCTGATAAAATACTTAAATGAAAATAAAGTAATTGCCTTATCTTGTCAGTCACAACAAATGTTTATACAGTTCTTTCCACCCCATTCCATCCCTCCCATCCCATCCCATCCCATCCCATCCCATCCCATCCCATCCCATCCCATCCCATCCCACAAAATGTCTGGAATTCTGTTGATACAATTAGCCCACCTCTTTCAAGTGCGAAAATCAGGAGTCATGGATTTGGACCTAAACTGAAGCCAGTTTGTACTTTTCATCATATTTAATACAGCTAGCCATGATCAGTTTCTCTTTGCATTAGACTTGGTCAGATGGCCTTAAGTTGGACTTAGATGAAATCCACTCATATAAAAAAGTGGAGCTCTGCAGAAATCCTAGAAGAAAGGAGAAAGTAATGTCTCCAAGTGATTGATTTTAATGCCAAATCCTGTATTATGTAATTTTATTTTTTATCTTTTTTCAGTCTTCATAATACATATGAGAAATGTACTGTTATGTACTTTTGTAAGAAAGGAGACAGTCCCAGGAACTCTAGCCCAATGTTTTAATTGTCCTACTGGAATTAGAAACATTATCTGTCTAGTTTCCCAAATTATGTAATTTCTATTATGCCCTATAATTCAAGGATAGTTCCTTGTAAAGGAAATTGATGATCGTGCATTATATTTCCTAGGTTAAGGCGGTAGATATTTGCCTTGTTGTTATCAGCATACCTATTAGATAACAAGTCTTTTTTTTTAAAGATTTATTTTATTTTTATTGGAAAGGCAGATATACAGAGAGGAGAGACAGAGAGGAAGATCTTCCGTCCGATGATTCACTCCCTAAGTGAGCACAACTGCCCATGCTATGCTGATCCAAAGCCAGGAGCCTCTTCTGGGTTTCCCACACGGGTGCAGGGTCCCAAAGTTTGGGCCGTCCTCAACTGCTTTCCTGGGCCACAGGCAGGGAGCTGGATGGGAAGCGGGGCTTCTGGGATTAGAACTGGCGCCCATATGGGATCCCAGGCGTGCAAGGCGAGGACCTTAACCACTGCGTCATCGCGCGGGGCCCTAGATAACAAGTCTTATTTCTAAGGCAAAGAAATAGAAGAAGCAGTAATAATAGTAGGCTTTACAAAATTCATCACAAAAAATTATTTTAAAGGTTTGATACAAAGCAATCTCATCTACACGGTCATTTTTAATATTATGTATTGGTTGAGATATTTAAACATGGTGTTAGCAAGGCAGTCACAAGAGTAATACCCACTGGGGCATGGAAGCATGGCTCCAATATAGGTCCACAGGCTTAACTAAGGCCTACAGCCTTACATGCGTAAACCATTCTCTGCAAGCCAAACTGAACCTAGAAATCCTAGCACCACTAAACTACTCTTCCAAAAATTTATCTCACTGACATGAATGATCTGCATTAATATGATAATAGTATAAAAGCTATGAGGTGTGTTTTTAGTACTACTATAAAAATAATAGACTGCATGAGTTTTTTGCACATTTGATGTTATTGATTCAAAGCATGCTAATAAAGAGAAGAAAGAGTATATCTGATTATTAAGCAGAGGCAGCCTTCTAGTATTTGAATTGATACATCTGTGAAAACACACAAGTAAAATATCCAGTCATTAACATAAACAATGAGGCTTATGAGATTGATTGCATGATTTGGACATTATTCAGAGTTCACAGGACCTTGTTAATAGCAATTAATTTCTACTTTTGATATTCACATAATTTATATATGGTTTTTCCAGGAAGGCCATTTATATAAATTTAAAAGGTTGAAATGGCAAAAGAAATACTGCTTACTATCCTTCTAGTTCTCTACCTATAATTTCAAATGCTATGCCATACTTTCTGATGATTTTTAACATGTATCAGATGACAGTAATTATTACTTAAAGGTTCCTGAAGAATTTGGGAGACTATCTGCCTAATACATAGAAAAGTACAGTATTATTTCTAATATCACTTTGTGAAAGGAGCCACTTGAGTATTTCCTAGTAATTCAGTGCTGAGAATTAGCTCAGTCTCTAGTAATCTGGTATGGGGAAACCAAAACCTCAAAATAGCCTTTGTATTTTTAGTATCTGTTGCAGAAAATTTGTATTTTAGTTAAGATTCCAGGACTTTAGAACTCCACAAACTATTGAGAAACTCAAATTTGGGGACTTCTGTCAGTTGCAAAGTCTTAAGCTTGCACAGGGTTGCAGGAGGACAAGCACAGACCTCGGGAGACCTGCTGCGATATGCAGTGTCTTTCTCTCAGTGTCTGACTCCCAGTTGCAGGCAGACACGGAAGCGTCCAGGAGGAGGGAGTCTGGCATGAGGCCTGACACCGTGAGAGCTGTCATCCTGTCTGGGCTTGAGTGCCTGCTGGGCTCTGAAGTGGCTGAATCATCCAAACCAGAGTCCCTGAGCTTCCAGAAGGCCTTAAATCCCTACAGGACCCTTCCGTGGGTAATTTTTAGGTGGCTTCCAGTGAGGTGTATTGAGGTCAGTTTGCTCATTAGTAAACTGACTAGCCTAGCACCCACCTGACCTTCCACGCCCTGATTTCAACACGCCAGTGCTCGGCAGTGAGACCTGGGAAACTCTCAGCTGCTTGTTCTTTGAGGCCGGAGATGAAAGTCAGACATCTATACTCAAATTCTCCTGACCACACTCATGTCCAACTAGAGAACTTCACCAGCCACCTTACTTCCCTACCTGCCCACTTCCTCATTTTAAAAAGCAAGGGGTACTCTTTTCTCACAGAATACTAAGAAGCCCTAACTGAAAGAGAAAATATGAATATATGCAAAACTATCTAGCACCGTGCCTTAAGTAACCACTGTTGCTACTGAAACTGATATTTTTGTATAAATCAAATCCTGAGGCCCTAACCAAATGGTTCATCACTAACCAGTTAAGTACATTTGAAATGAGAAAATTATTTTAACAATTATTCTTGATAATTTATTCCCTGTATAGATGTTTTATGATAATACTCTTGTGGATTACAATTAAATCCATTATTCTAATATCCATTACCCAGTGTATTATTAGAGAAACACATACTCATATGTCTAACCTGAAGACACAAAAATTTATCTGAAATATGGAAGATCAGCTCAATGGTTTAGAGTTTTTTTCTGATTTCCTTTTCAAAGAAATAAATGAAAAGCAACATGGAGAGACTGTTTTTATAAAAGTTTTCAGAAAGGGGCTACAGAAATGTTCCTATTAATGTCTTTAATGTATTGCCCATCGATAATTATTAACTATTCAAAAACAGCTTAGCAGTCTCATGCTGTAGAGACCTCAACTGAAATTTTCTTTTTTGAAAACTTTCTAGATGATGGAGGAATCAGAAATGTGCCGAGTGCCTGATGGTTTGGCCAAGGTGAAAAAACAATTTGAGAAAGATGAAATGACGTCTTCCCGCAAAAGTTTTTCTCAATACCGATATCAACACCAGAACAGATCTGAGCAGGTAAAGGATTTATTGTTGGGAAATAAACCTATGTGACTGAAATGCTCTCCCTTCATTTATTTTCACCTCTAATTAACAAGTAGTATAATTTTTAAAATTTCAGAAAATGATCTTTAGAGTATGTCGATACATTGATGTACTTACATGGAGCTTTTGCCACATTTCCAGATAACCACAGTAGAGTATGCTTCCTCTCATCTTCTAATGTGTTCGGCATGAATGAAAATTAAATAGCCTAGGTAAATAGCCTAACAGTAAATGGAAAGGTTGAGAGTAACTTATATTGAACCATCACTTTTAGATAATAATTACTGATAAACTAAATGCTGATTTTTGTGTGTATTGAATCTGAGGCATCATTCTGCTGCTTATTGTAGGAAGTTTTTTTTTCTTTAAACCCATCAAAAATAAAGTAGGAGAAGCCAGATGTTACTTTAAACCATGTAATGCGAATTATAAATATAATCTTATATAAAGCTTTTCACCATTTTGTTACTTTATTATCATATAACAGAAATTACTTCATGGGACAAAATGAATGTTGAATGTGGCTCTATGTATTAGAACACATCAGACTCAGGATGGAACTTTGAACAAATAGTAATTTCTCTGTTAAAGAACTGGACTTAGGCCACTGTTGTTCTTGTGGAGGGAAGTAACTGGGTTATTTCTGAAATTTTATAGTAGGAAATGAAAGGGGATATGTTGCACTGGTATAAATCCACAAGTTATACAGAGTTGCCTAGTTCATTTATTAAAAAAAAAAAAAAACAATTGACTGTTACCTGTGATGGGGAAAAGAGAAGTATTTTAGGTAGAATGATTAAAATCTAACATGCAAATTCATTTGGTTTCTTGTCTGGCTTATTTGCAACACCAGAAATGTACAATATAGGTAATTTGATAAATCTGTGGCAATGTTTAATGTTGCCTAAGGAACATCGGTAAACAATTAAGATGAAGATACTCTGGCCTGATACATAGCTGTTATAACACAGGAGACTTTGAGTGAATCAAGTATAGATGCGTGTGCTTACCTGAAATTGATCAGAAATAAAAAATGTGTTTTTAATAATTTAAAGAGCAGATTCTATGCAAAGGTATTAGTAGTGTAGTTATAAACCTGCCTTTGCAGAGAAACAACGTAATAGAGTATAAGACTATGGACCTTGGGCCTTCGATCTGAATTGGGACAATCTCTGCCACCTGCCTGTGGGTACTTTAACATTCTCAGTAACTGTTACATAGTGACTAAAGGAATAGATATTAGAGCTATGTGCACTGGATCCACATTCCTGCTCCTTCACTTACTAGCTGGGTAACATTAGGAAAGATTTTTTACCTTCTGTGTGCTTTGGTTTCCTCAGTCATAAAGTTGAGGCTAAAATTCCACTTTATGGATTCTTTCAGAATAATAAATGTGTTAGTATGTGTAAGATACCTGAAAGAGTGGCTAGGCCATTGTAAGAACTACACAAGTGTTAGCTTGTTCAAAAACAAAAACAAAAACCAACAACAACAAAAAAAACATGACCTCAACTGTTTGTTTTTTGCAACCTCATATCATCACTTCTTCTCTCTGGGTTCCATTTTCACCAGGATTCTCTTCAGATGTCAGTAGAGAGGTGCATATTAAAGCATACAAACTTTTCTGAGAAGTCCTAGGAAGACCCCCTTTAGCATTTGATTAGCTCTACAAATAACACATATACTCATGGTGGCTGAACTGACTGCCATAACCAGGGAATGCTGATTGGCTTTAGACCCCTGTGTCCTGGTTACTTCACTGGAAGTTCTCAACATGTGATTATCAATGAAAAATGCAAGCTGGGTAGAAATCAAACCAAACAAAAATATATATTCACTGTAAGTGCCTTGAGGATGTGCCTTATTGTAAGATATAGTCCCTGTTTTAGGAGAGCATGATACTAAATGTGTATGAAGATATTACACGAGTATGCACTAGAAGGATAAATGATCATACATCTCAAGAATTACAGTTACTACTGACTGGAGGTGGATGGGTTTTACTCATTCATCACAAGTCTCTCCGGTAAAGCATTGTGGAGAAATGACCCAGGCTAATCCTCTGCCTTTTGCATATTGGCATCCCATGAGGTGAGGGTCCCAGCCTGGCTGATCCACTTCTGATCCAGCTGTTGGCTTATGGCCTGGGGCGGGGGGAGGGGAACAGAAACAGAGGTTGACCCAGGTCCCAAGGACCCTGCATCCAAATGGGAGGCCCAAAGAAGCTCTGGCTCCCAGCTTCAGATCAGCTCAGCTCTTGCCATTGTGGACATTTGGGGAGTGAACCAGCAAATGGAACAACTTCTCTCTCCGTATTTCAAGTAAAAATGATCATTTTAAAAAATCTTATAAAAAATAGGTGTGAAGATATTTTCTAAAATGCCATAGATGATTAGAACTAAATAGTTTAACTTGATCCAACTACATTCTGCATTTTGAAATAGTCATTACTGCTTCCCACATTTATGAATGAAGTCTAACTATCTTGTAGCTATCACAAGTCACACGCCTTGTTTTCTGCTGGTCTGTGGGTTGGAAATACCCCATCAGTGTTGTATTTTGTTTTAGAATTGAGCTCTCAGTGCTCAATGCCTGAAATTCAAGGACCTGAGGCTGAGATTCAAAGTGCTACTTACCGGAGGTGGATGGGTTTTACTCACTCACCACAAATATCTCTGATAAAAAAAAAAAAACCACCAACATTTCACTGTGAAAAGATGTCTTTAAATATGCTGGGGCAAACAGGAAAATACGGTGGAGCAGATACAGGAAAAAAATGTGCTTTGGGTGTGGAACGATCACTGCCTCTCTCTCAAGTTTATTTGCCTTTTCTAATTGTATAATTTCTGGGATTTGTTTTAAAAGGCCTATCTATTGAAAGGCAGAGTGACAGAGAGAGAAGAAACAGGAAAGTGAGAGAAAGATAGAAAAGGAGGAAGTGAGGATGAGAGGGAGGGAGAGAGAGAGACCTTTCAACCACTTGTTTACTTTCTAAATTCTCACAACATCCAAAGCAAGAACCAGCAACTCCATATAGGATCTCGCAAGTGCAAGGCAAGAACCCAAATACTGAAGCATTATCTATTGCTTTCCCAGGCACACTAATGGAAAGATGGGAGGTAGCAAGAACTCAGAAAATACTGTGATATCAGTATGAGTGTCCAAAACTACAGCTTAACTCACTGTGCCACAACTCTTGCTCCTGGTTTCTGAGTTTTCTTTTATTCTTTAGCAGTTCCACTAAGATATAACTTGAATATCATAAAACCCACCTGTTTGATGGACACGATCCCATGACTGTCGTGCAGATTTACAGAATTGTGCAGTATCACAACAACCTCATTTTTGAATATTCTCGTCCCTCCAAAAGACTGTCCCCATTTACAGTCTGAAATTTTCTCCATACTATATTCTCTCACGCAACGTTGGCTTTGCTGTTTTCTGTGAATTCCTTCTTCAGTTTCTTTCTCCATGTTTATATGAGGCTGAAGAACCATGTATGAATTAACGGTGAAGCCTTGGAAGCCACTTCTTTTCTGAAATTGCTTCTGCTTGTTTGCTTGTTTGCTTGCTATTCCTGTTAAGTGGCTTCTGTAGGAAAGAGCAGATGGAGCTACAAAATTTGGGGAATCATCAATGCCATCAGTGTGTAGGGACAGCTTTCGGGTAAGGTTGCTGCACTGAATGCAGGTCAACAGTCAGAAGCACTCCTGACCCTCTCACACTGCTGCCCACGCTGATGTGCAAGGAGACGGAGTGTGTCTAATACATCTGCTGCCACAGAAATATGGATGTAAACATTGGTACCCTGTAAGATTACATGAGTTTGGAACCATCCCTAGTTCGATAGGAAACATTTCTATCAGCTTATGACAGATACAATCTGATATCTGTGCGTTACAAACTCTTTAAAAGTCGCCTACTATTTTCTAACCAATTAAATATATTTTTATCAGCTAAATGCCTACATTACAGAGCATTTTTCCTATAATGGCCTTCAAAGTACCTCTAGCTTCTTGCTCCACATATAATTTTTCAAAGTCACAGACTGCTATTAAGAGCCCAAACATACCCTAGATCTCTAGTGATGTACAAGTCTATCACCAAGGGTACGTCTTGGCTTATCTTTAACATTCAAAATGGCTGTTTTACCTTCAAGTAGCTCCATACAAAATGAGGCAGTCTAGATAACGGTTAGGTCCACTGATTCAAGCATCAGACAGCCTGCATTATAATACCCCAAATTAGCTAGCTGAGTTCCTCTGTAAATCTGCTTTAGTTTTCAATGTTTTTTTTTTTAATTCTCTTGGGATTCTCTGTAAATTTTCATATGCTCTCCTTGATGTGGGAATAATGTGTCAGGTAATTTAGGCACCTGGGTAGTTACCACAAGTAAACTCTAATATCTTTTATTTTGCAATAATGGACTTCTAAATGAAATTTCTATATATTGATATTGTATAATAATGAGATAATTCATATAGCATTCTCAGTGTATTCCTGGTATGTTTTGATGGGTACATAAATGCTAGTTACTATCATCAGAAATGCTGTCATAATAACCAAGACAGACCATAGCACAATCATAAATACTTCTCACACCTATGTATAAAAATATAAAAGAATTACCTTGTTTTGGCTTTGGTTTCAACTGTTTAGCCCTGATAGACCACTATTTCTTAGGATATCTACAGGTAATTGAAGATTTTCTTAAAATGAGGATGCCTGTGTAACTTCAGGTTGTTCTAGAGTAGTGAAGAATAGCATTGGTTAGTTTGAAAATTTTAATCACAAGTGTTCTTTTGAGCAAAAGGATTCTTAACCATAATTCTAACAATGGTGAGAAGAAGTGGCCCTCTAAGAAGGCCAAGCCGAGAGCTATGTAAAAAAAAAAAATCATCTGGTTGGATCCATTGGACTCCCAGGATGTCTGTCTGAATCCAACTATAGTTAGATACAACAAATGAAGAGCA